GGTCGTGATCCCAGAGTCCTGGGATCGAGCCCCACGTCCCACTCCTGGCTCAGCAGGGAGCCTGCTTCTCCCTCTGCCTCTACCCCTGCTCATGCTCTCTCGCTCTCTCTGTATCTCTGTGTCTCGAATGAATAAATACAATCTTTAAAATAATAATAATAATAATAAAATTAACAACTGTGACTGAAGGCAGCCTACAGAAAGTGCAAAGGCAAGCCGTGGAATGGAAAAAGATTTGGATAGTATATAATCAATAAAGGATTTGTATCTAGAACACAGAGAATTCCTACTAAGTCATAAGGAAAAAACAATCAAATGGATTAAAGAGGCATTTTCTGAAACAGGAAATCCCAAAGGTTCAATCCTAAACATTGAAAAGGTACTCAAACTTGTTGGTAATTACATACTTGGCAAATTAAAATCACAAGATATTTTTACATATAAGTAACAATACCAACATTGATGAGGATTCGGAGCTATGAGAACTCTCCTATTTCTCTGGTGGGAATACAGATTGGTACAATCACTCTGAGAAACAATTTAGCATTAGCTACTATAGGTCAACATATGCATACTCTAAGACCCAGCAATTCCACTCCTAAGAATATATCCTAGGAAAACCCACGCATTTGCTGACCCATATACCAAATAAGAACGTTCACAGGAACACTGTTCCTACTACCCTAAATTGGGAATAATCCAAATATCCATCTACAGGAGGATTAGAGAGGTAAATCATGGTACAGGCCTATAATAAAATTCCATACAGCAATGAAAAAGGGACAAATGGCTCCAAAGAAAACATGGATGAATTTTACAAACATAATACTGAGCAAAAAAAAGCAAGACACACAAAAATAGATGATGCTGTTTACATACAGTTAAAAGTTTTTACAAATGAGTAGAGAAGTGATAAGAGAAGCAAAAGTAGGAGAGAGATTTCCTCTGGCGAGGGAGGGGAAGCTGGGAAGAGTCAAACAGAGGTCTTAGGAAGTTGGCAATGCTCCGTTTTTTGACCTGGGTGGTTTTTACAAGGGTGCCAGTTTTATGTTTCTTCATTATACCATACATTTATGTTTTTTATACTTTTCTGTATGTGTTTTATATTTGAGCTTTTTGAAAACAATTAGGGAAAAAAAGTTGGAGACAATCTGGGCATTTATCGCTCAGGGAAGGTGTAGATAAATGTGGCCACTGCATATAAGAGAATGAAATGCAAGATTCAAAGGTAGTAACTCACAGAAGCGTGGACAGTTCTCAAAAACAAGGTTGAACAAAAGGAAAGAAACAGAAGTTTTTAGCACAATGCTCTATAAATTTTAAAATACAAACATGATACAATGCTATGTATTTTTCTTCTCTTTTTTAAAGATTTATTTATTTTAGAGAGTGAGCGAGAGCGTGCAAGCACGAGCACGAGGGGCAGAGGGAAAGGGAGGAAGAATCTGAAGCAGGCCGCACACGAGTGCAAAGCCCGATGTGGGGCTCGATCTCACAACCCTGAGACCACGACCCAAGCCGAAACCAAGAGGTGGACGCTCAACTGACTGCACCCCCCGTGTGCCCCAATGCTATGTATTTTTCAAGAATACACAGCTATCCACATAAACCCATGGAAGAAGAATTGGGAAAGTATATATACATATAAAACACATAGAATACACTATAGTGGATAGCTAATCAGGGAAGAGCAGGAGTTTGCAAGCTTCTTCTTACAGGGCCAGATAAGAAATATTTTAGGCTTTGCATGCGAGTAGGTCTTAGGGCAACTACTCAACTCTGCCATTACAACTCAAAAGCAGACACAGACAATAAGGAAACCAATGGGCATAGCTGTGTTCCAATAAAACCATATTGACAATCACAAGGCTGTGGTTCACCAAGCCTTAGAAAAAAGGAATGGGTTAAGAAAAGGGAATAAAGGGGAGAAATAATAAAGTAAGAGAGGCTTTGCATGGATCAACCACACAGGGTGCCTTGAAGTACTTTCAACTCAATTTTGGGAAATAAATTCCTTTATTATTAAGAGAAAATCAAGGAAAGAACAAAAGGAAGTAAACAGTACCTTTTTGTTGTTTTGATTTTCTTCCACACTTACCTCCTTGCTATCTGTCACAGGAACCCATTTAAATATCCTAAGGGACGTGTCACCGACGGTCACCCACTTTTTCTCCCTGAAAGAAAGACATTTCTTAAAACCGATAATAATGAAACAGATTTTTTGTTCATAATGTGATTTTCTACTTCTCAGCAGATCGTTCCTTCAATCTTTTAAAAAATTTTTAAATTTAAGTTTATTTAATTTCAGTCATCTCTACACCCAATGTGGGGCTCAAACATACAACCCCGACTTGAAGAGTCACATGCTCTTCCAACTGAGCCAGCCACGTGTCCCAAGCTCCTTCAATCTTAAATGCCTTCTAAACTTACTTCCCATCCAATTATACCTTTACCTTACCTTGCAAAATCATCCCTTCCAGAAAGACTTCTCTATCAAATTCCCTTGGCTCTGAGACTTGCCTTTTCTCAGTGTACCAAAGCTCTTTTTACCTCCCAGACTACACCCATATTGAGTACCCACACATTTTCACACTCAGGTATCTACCTGGCATTACTTCTTTTTCAAAAATTAATTCAATTCCACTGATATTTATAAAGCCCTGTTATACAAGGCCCTACAGGAGATAAAGAATGTATAAGATACGGTCCCACATAGCACATAGGAATAAAAAACTAAGTAAGGACATCATTGTGATACACGAAGGTGATAAGGAAGTTGAGAAGGCTGAAAGACGGTAAAACTGGGCTATGGCATAGAAGGAGAATTCTTAGGACTCCTGTGTAACTCTATGTTGAAACATGATTCCATTTAGAAATAATCGCAGGTGCAGCATAAGATGCTTCTAAGTCTTACATTGGTTTCTGAAGGAGGTGAAGACGGGGCCACGAAAAGAGTGCTTTAAGGTTTTATCTTACAGAGAAAATTACTTTTGAGATAAGCCTTAAAAAAAATAAGCCTAAAAAAAATTTCCCCCATTTGGGGAAATGCAAGTGACATTTTTGAATAAGGACCAGATTATGGACAAGCAGAGTTGGGGAGTCTGAAGTATGACTTCTGAACTTGTCAATTCCAAATGTGAGGTTACAAAAAAGCAAAAAAAAATAACTGTTGTGACTGCTGATATTGATGATGCTGTTTAGCAAACAGAAAGAAGAATGAACACAGACTTAGGAAATTGAAATTAATTCCTGGACAGACCACTCCACTTCCTCACTGATTCAACAAATACTATACATGACCCTGTGATAGACCCCGGGCACGCAGGCAGCAAGATGTACAGCTCCTAGCTTCACAGAGCCTCATTCCAGTTGGAAACTGACATCAAACAACTCATTTCACAGTCACTTAATCATTAGGTTTAACCACATCAAATTGCCACTTCTGTTTGGTTGAAAAGTCAAATATAGGAAATGTCTTATGATTCAGTCTAATACAATTGTGGAAAGTTCTATGAAGGGGACCTGGTTTAGATTAGGAATCTTGAAAGGTGTCCCTCAAGAAAGCATTTTTATACAGAGCTAGGAGTTAACTAGGCAAGGAGGAGGAGAGGGTAGAGGATGTCAGGCAGCATGTCAGCCAGCAACCCCCTGGAAAGAGGGCAATTTGAGCCAGTCTGGTGAGGCAGCAAGCACCATCTTTAGTCTTTAACCTAAGAGCAAGAAGAGGTCACCGAAGCATTGTTTCTATAGCAGGGGAGTACTACGATAGTATTTACACTTGAGAAAAGTGAAATCACTGACTGCAATGTGACAAATGGACTGGGTAATGAAGCAAGAGTTGAAGCAAGCTAAGAGTTCCAGGTGAGAGAGGATGGTCATCTGGCCTAGGCTGCTGGGGTTGGGCCGGGGGGGGGGGGGGGGGGGCAGAGATGGCCAGAAGAGAAAGGTGTGGTGATTCTTAGGTTTCACCTAAAAACTCTAAGAGAATTAGATTTGGAGGGGGGAAAAATCATTAATTATGTAACTAACATGTAGGAGTCCCAACTACATATAAAACCCTTATATACAAAGAGATAAAGAACTTGTGGGGAATTGAACACATAAACACGCAAAAAAAAAAAAAAAAATCCAAGGTAATGATGCCCCTATAGGGGGTGGAGGTCTTGGGAAGGAAGGCTTCCTGGAGGGAGCTAATCCCTTCCTGGGCTTTAAAACTATTACTAGTTGCCAGAGAAAAGGACTCAAGAAGTTGGAGCCAACAGTTGGCTGTTAATAATGCATCGGAATTCCTGATACAAAATAGGCGGTCAACCGGCCCGCCGTTTCCAAATGAGGGTAGGTCTCGACTCCTTCACCAACAACTCGTAGCACCAAGAAAAAGAAAGCCACACGGTTCCGTGTGGGCCAGTACTGGGGGAAAGAGAGGGGTTTTGATTCCGATGACCACACCTGCTCTCGTCACAAGAGCTCTCACCAAACTTAAAACGAGTTAATACATAGAGCGCTCGGCCTGGCCGGCGAGAACCCCCCCAGAGATTGTTAGCTATATACTGGGCAGCTCAGAACGCGAAAGGCTTCTCAGACCCGCGGCCGAAGGGAGGAAGCCGCGAGATCCTGCGTGCGACCGAAGCCCCAAAGCCCCAGCGATGCCGGAAGCCGACAGCCCCTCCGGGAGATTCGTGGCCCTCCGGCAGGTGGGCGGACCCGCGAGCCGGGCGACCCCCTGATTGGTGGCAATCGGCGCGCCCTCTGACCTCACGCCGACGCGAGCTGCACCCTCCTCCCGCCTTCCCCCGCTTCCCCCCTCCCCCCAAGCGTCTGCGGGTCGGCTCCCACCCCGCCAGCCAGTCCCGCGCGCCTCTGGGCCTGGGCCGGCGACTGCGCCGGCACCCTCGGGCCCGGGCCCTCACCATTTCCGCACTTTCTCGATGGCCGCCATCACCTTCTTGATGTCGTCCTTGGCCCGACTGCGGGTCTCGGCCCGGACCGACCGGCCCGACATGGCGGCAGCGGGAGCGGCGGGGGCCGGGACACTGCTCCCAAGACACGGGGAATCGCGCGCCTCACGCGCCGCCGCCCGCCCGCCGCAGCAGCGTCACCGCGGCCGTCGCCACCTCCGTGCGCGCGTGCGCGAGGAAGTGCGCGCACACGCCCGCCTCTTGGGGCTCGAAGCCTCAGCGCGCCTGCGCGCCCCGCCCCGGGCGGCCCTCCCTGGGCGCCCCGGGAGTCCCCTCGGCCCCCAAGGAAGCCGGGGTACGCGGCGGGCGGGCGGCACGTGCTGCGGGAAAGGCGAGGTGCGAGGCGCTTCCAGTGGGGTCCCTGGCTCTCAGGGGGTTTGGAGGTTGGCACCTTTGTCCTCTGGCCATGGTTGCTGCCTTTACCTATGTTTTAGGCACTTGACCCTAACAGGTGCGTGGTTCTGTTGCCTCTCATCTCCAGCGCCCTTGCTTTCCAGATAATACTGCTGTGCTCTAACCACAGAATTTGACACCTTTCTTCCGAACTTTGCGGACACCTGTTCCCTAGCTGGAATTCTCTCATCGCTTTACCTGGTGAACTGACCACTTACTCTTCTAACATCCAGATCCAGCTCAGAGAAGCCTTCCCCTGATATTCTCGGGTTACACTTAGCACTCTACAGCACTGTCTGACTTAATTCAGCAGTCGTTAACCGAGTGGTGCCTGCATTGTACAAGGCTATGTGGTCAATGCTGAGGACAAAATCTGGGTTTTTGCCTTCAAAGAGCTTCCAGTTTAGAAGAACATGCAGACCAGAAAACAGGTGTTTAAAGTGCCATTTTATGGGGCACTTGGGTAGCTCTGTCGTTAAGTGTCTGCCTTCGGCTCAGGTCATGATCCCAGAGTCCCCAGAGTCCTGGAATCGAGCCCCATATCGGGCTCCCTGTTCAGCAGGAAGCCTGCTTCTCCCTCTCCCGCTCCCCCTGCTTGTGTTCCCTCTCTCGCTTCTCTCTCTCTCTCTCAAATAAATAAATAAAATGTTTAAAATAAAATAAAATGCCATTTTATAAATGATAGGCTGAAGTAAGTTCAAGGTGCTATGACAGCCTTAATCCAAATGAGGGGTGTCCAGAGGCTTCTGGGAAAATATAGCCTTGAAGCTGACCTCTGAAAATAGGGTACATGCAGGGCCTGTGTCCACACATTGTAGAACATGCTCAATAAATGTTTGGGTGAATGTTTAATTTTGAGTGCAGCTCCCTTGCTTCCCCCCCACCACCACCACCACAGGCATTTACTGATGCCTTGCAGTATTTAGGGAGGGCTATATAGTAACTGCCTCAGGAGACATAAAGGAGGCAGGTGACAGTTTGAATTGATTAGGTAGTGGCTACTTCTCTCGCCTCTAGAGAAACTTCCTTCTGTGTGTCCCAGAGAAATGCCTAGCTAACTCTGAACTTGACACAGCCTCTGACTATGTTCAGGCTTTCATGACTGACTAACATCATGATTTGATAAGCATATGCTGTCTTGCTAATGAGAGGCCTGGGAATAGCATCTGCCTGAGGACTGGAAGAGCTGAACCAGCATGTGGAGGGAAGGGAAGATTCTAGAACTAATGTGATAAAGGTGGCACATCTGTTTCTCAAGCCCAACTGATCCAAAATAACTTGATGTAAGTACTGCCTGAGCACCCTACAGCATATGGACACTGTGTGATGCCAAGATGAGTAAGACACACTCCCTGCCCTTGAGGTGAGGGTAAGGAAAGCAGGAGGAAAAGAAAACACAAGGCAGAACATGGTAAGTGTCGTGAAAGAGGCCAGCTCTCTAGCATTCTAATGCTGTTCACAGATCCCCTCCTGTAAGCACACAGCTCAACAACCTCTGGCAGTTCAATCTAACTTCTGTCTCTCCCTTGTCCAAGCCCTGGCCAGCCTCTTCGCTGAGGTTTCTTGCCTACGGTTTCTCTCTACTCCAAGGCCCACTGCTCCTTCCAGCAGTACACTAGCATCCTACACCCATCTCTCCTCCAGCCCACCCTGCTAGTCAGCCACTGTCCTCGGGCCATCCCCTGCCCTGAACACCCAATGAGCTCCCTGTTTTCTGCCCACCTTTGTCCACCTAGCCGTATTCCCCACCTCATCTCTATCTCTACATAAGAGAATGATCAAAGTGGGTACCTACCAACTACTCCCTACGGGCCACACAAATGCCCTCGGTTGACATCCTTTTCTTTAAAAAACATTGCACCTTGGGGTGCCTGGGTGGCTCATTTGGTTAGGTGTCTGACTCTTGATTTCGGCTCAGGTCATGGTCTTGGGGTCCTAGGATCAAGCCCCGTGTCGGGCTCCGTGCTCAGCAGGGAGTCTGCTTGAGGATTCTCTCCCTCTCCCTCTGCCCCCCCCACCGCTCATGCTCTCTCACTCTAAAATAAATAAAATCTTTTTAAAATTTTTAAAAATTGCATCTTGATATTTTTTTAGGTGAAAGCCCTGTGCTAGATGCTGAGGAGGATACAGAGATGAGCCAGCCCAGACCTTACCTTGGGCAACTTGCCCTCATGGCAGTGACTTCCCCTCTCAGAGTAAAAGCTACAGTGGTCTACAATGCCCCACCTGTCCCCACACCTCCTTGCCTCCTATAACTCTACCTTTTGTTGTCTCTGCTCCAACCATACTGGCCTTCTTTGCTCATCTGAAAACATCCAGTAAAGTTTCTGCCTCAGGGCCTTTGCACTGCAGGCCCCTTTATCTGAAACACCCATCCCCTATATATTTCATGGCTCACTCTCTCACATCTTTCAGATCTTTAGCCAAATGTGATCTTTTCAATGCAGCCTTTCCTAGCCACCTATCAAAGAATGTAGTATCCATCCCTCCACTCACTATCCCCCTTCCACAATTTGTTTTTCTCCAGAGCATTCATCACCCCCTGAAATACTATTTTTCTTGTCTCCCTTGCTTATTACCTATCCTCTTTTCAGTAGTTCTGAGACGGTACAACATGGTCTGTTTCATTTTGTTCAATGATTATCCCTAGTAGCATCTAAAACAGAGCCTGGGGGTGCCTGGCTGGCTCAGTTGGTACAGCATGCGACTCTTGATCTCAGGGTTGTGAGTTCAAGCCCTATGTTGGATATAGAGATTACTTAAAAATAAAATCTTAAAAATAATAATAACAAAATAAAACAGAGCCTGGTATTCAGTAGGTGCTCATTACATATTTGTTGAGTGAATGCCCAACCTCAATGCATCCTCTTCCATGAAGCCTTCCCCAGGTCACTCTGAGCAGGAGGAAGGATGCCTCCCTTCCCTGAACCCCCACAGAACCCTGAACACAGTCTGCATTACACTCAGGGGCAGGGATTTCCAGGGCGAGCAAGAGAAGCCACCCTGAAGACCACAGGACACTGGGTGACACGTGCTCATGGTCAGGAAGATCCTATGTTTAGCCACAATTGGAAGTTCTTGTACTTGTTCATTTGCTCCTTATGATCCACTGTCCCCTGAAGTGTTAGTCCTGTGAGGGTCGGAGCCCTGTGGTCAAGTTCACCATTACATTCCCAATGTCTAGCATGACACTCAGCACAGGGAAGGCACTTACTAAAGAGAGATTGGAAGAATGAATGAATGAATGAATGAACACCATTCTTCCCCACAGGGCCCACATCAGCTATGCTCTCCCTCCCTGCCCTGTCCATTTGACCTGTAGAGCACCCCACTTTCTCTGTCAGAGCGACGTAGCCCCACTGCAGCGCTCAGTCTCCCTTAACCAGCACACGTGCCCAAGGCCCAGCACGCCTATGATAATCACAGCTCTTTTTTTTTTAAGGATTTATTTATTTTAGAGAGAGAGCGTCAGGGGGGAGGGCAGAAGGAGAGAGAGAATCCTAAGTAGACTCTCCACTGAGCATGGAGCCCAACTCAGGGCTCAATCCCACAACCCTGAGACCATGACCCAAGTGAAACCAAGAGTCAGACGTTCAACCACCACCAGGCACCCCAACTACAGCTCTTCTAAAATTCTTTCTGTGGCTCCCCATTGTTTCAGTTCAAACTCACACTGTAGCAATACTCAGGTCCCCCAGTATGACCCTGGTCACAGGGAAAAGAATGCCAAGAGACAGAAGGCGGGGTCGGAGTCCCAGCTTGGCCACATACTTGTGCCATGGCTTTGCATAGGTCACCTGACCACTCTGAATCCCAGTCTCGTTTTGCTTTTTGGTTTTTTTGGGTTGTTTTTTTTAAGATTTCATTTATTTATTTGAGAGAGAGAATGAGAGAGAGCTCATGAGAAAGGGGAGGGTCAGAGGGAGAAGCAGACTCCCCGTTGAGCAGGGAGCCCGATGTGGGACTCGATCCCGGGACTCCAGGATCATGACCTGAGCCGAAGGCAGTTGCTTAACCAACTGAACCACCCAGGCACCCCTCATTTTGCTTTTTGTTTTTTTTTTTCTGGGAAACGAGTTCACCAACAATGGCCTCACACCTCACAGGGCTGCACTTAGGACCTGGTGAGGTGGGGAGTGGGTGAATTTTGTAAACTACAAAGTGCCTTGCAGGCAGAAATACTTTTTGGTTTCCAGTGCCCACTGCTCCTGCCTGTATTCAGTTCCAGCTAAACAAGACCTGCTCCCTGTTCCCCGCTCACCATCCTCCTTTTGAAATACCCATCTTTCTTTCTTTTTTTTTAATTTTATTTATTTATTTGACAGAGAGAGAGAGAACACAAGCATGGGGAGAGGGAGAAGCAGACTCCCTGCTGAGCAGGGAGCCAGATGTAGGACTCGATCCCAGGACCCTGGGATCATGACCTGAGCCAACAGCAGATGCTTCACCGACTGAGCCACCCAGATGCCCCAAAATACCCATCTTTAAAGACTCAGCCTCCTCCACGGTTGTTCCCAATGCATGTAATCAGACCCTTAATCAGACCCCCAGAGCACTGAGTTCACCCCTGTCAACGCTCTCCTTTTATTTTACCTCCTGAAAAGCTGAGATCCTCACTGGGCTGCTTCAGTGGAGGACCGGGCCCAAGGAACCTGATTATGCTCACTGGTTCCAGCCTAGAACCCTGGGTGTTCATCTCCCACACTGGTATCTGCGAAAACCTGTTTGAAGACAAGCCTCGAGGCGGAAGTGCCTGAACTATGCTGGAGTTCCTCTCTTTTCCCTCCTTCTTGGGTTGTGTCAAAAGCCCTGTTGAGAGAGAAGACAGGAGGACCAGGATCAGGGTCATCTTTCCATCAAAGGCACTTTGGAGCTGTGCTCCTTTGTAAAGCCATAGAGGCCCAAGAACCAGTCCTAAGGAGTAAGGGAAACCTATAGGGGGTTGTGAAGGACTCCCTGTGCCTTTGCAAGCAGGGACAGTGAACCTTCTGGAATTCTTTGAGAGCTCCAAAAATGGAAGGTGCAATGAGGGCTTCAAAACATCTCTCCTGGTCATCTCTCCACTGCTCTTGGCGGTGGCCCTCCCCGGCCTAAGGCACGAAGGTCGCAACCGAAAAGAAGATGAAAAAGTCGCTGCAGTCGATCAACTCCAGGCTCCAACTCACTATGGAAAGTGGAACGTACACGCTGGGGTACGAGCCGACTCTGAAAATGATCTTACATGGCAAAACAGAACTAGTCACCCTCGCCAACAACTGCCCAGTCTTGAGGAAATCTGAAATTGACTACTACGCCACGTTGGCCAAAACTGGTGTCCATCACAACAGTGGCAATAACATTGAATTGGGCACAGCTCGTGGGAAATACTACAGAGTATGCACACTGGCCACCACTGACCCAGGTGATTCTGATATCATTAGAATCCTGCCAGAACAGACTGGTGAAAAGCAAGTCACAAAATATTTCTCTTTAGGGCGCCTGGGTGGCTCAGTTGGTTAAGCGACTGCCTTCAGCTCAGGTCATGATCCTGGAGTCCCGGGATCATTTCCGGCATGGGGCTCCCTGCTCAGCGGGGAGTCTGCTTCTCCGTCTGAACCTTCCCCCTCTCATGTGCTCTCTCTCTCTCTCATTCTCGCTCTCTCAAATAAATAAATAAAATCTAAAAAAAAAATATTTCTTTAATAAAACTGGCCAGAGCTTATTTTAAAAAAAGAAGAAGAAGAATACGGTCTGGGAGGGCTAGTCAGAGGCAGAGAGAGCCCAGTGTGGCCCCCAACTACGAGGAACCACCCCCCACACCAAGAAGCTTGTTAAAATGCAGATTCCTGGGCCATGTCCCTAAGGGTTTTTTTTCTTGTTTTGTTTTGTTTTTATGTCCCTAAGGTTTTATCTCCATAGTTTGGCAGTCCAGCTTGGGCACACGTATTTTATTTTCATTATATTTATCTTTTTTTTTAATAATTTTTAAGATTTTATTTATTTATTTGAGAGAGAGAGAGAGAGAGAAACAGTATGAGAGGGGAAAGGGTAAGAGGGAGAAGCAGGCTCCCTGCTGAGCCGGCAGCCCGATGTGGGACTCGATCCCAGGACTCTGGGATCATGACCCGAGCCGAAGGCAGATGCTCAACGAGCCTCACCTTCCAGAGTTAAGTGTAACGTTAGGTTGTTTATTTGAGATTTTTCTTGCTTCTGATAAGAAGCAATCTGAAAAGATTCATGGAATGACTTTGTTGATATTTTAGAATTCGCTGAGACTTGTTTTTATTTATTTATTTGCGAGAGCGAGAATGAGAGAGAGAGAGAGCACATGAGAGGGGGGAGGGTCGGAGGGAGAAGCAGACTCCCCGCTGAGCAGGGAGCCTGATGCGGGACTTGATCCCGGGACTCCAGGATCATGACCTGAGCCGGAGGCAGTCGCTTAACCAACTGAGCCACCCAGGCGCCCTCATTATATTTATCTTAATATACAATACTTCCACGTGCTGGAAAATTAAAAGGATGCGATGATGTTAGTACTTCTGAAGCTGGGCAATGGGTACACAGGGGCTCATGATACTGTTCTCCCTACTTTCATTATACTCTGAAACTTTCTATAATAGAACATTTTTTCAAAGGTATGCAGTGGGGGCGCCTGGGTGGCTCAGTCGTTTAGCGTCTGCCTTCGGCTCAGGTCATGATTCCAGGGTCCTGGGATCGAGCCCCGTGTCAGGCTCCCCGTGTCAGGCTCCCCGTGTCAGGCTCCCCGTGTCAGGCTCCCCGCTCGGTGGAGAGCCGGCTTCTCCCTCCCCCACTCCCCCTGCTTGTGTTCCCTCTCTCGCTGTCTCTCTCTGTCAAATAAATAAAATCTTTAAAAAAAAAATAAAGGTATGCAGTGAAGTTCAAAGGTTAAAACAATAAAACAAGCCCTTCCCTTTTTCCCTCCCTAGTCCTTCAGTCAACCTGTGCCTCACTGCCTCACCTTCCAGAGTTAAGTGTAACGTTAGGTTGTTTATTTGAGATTTTTCTTGCTTCTGATAGTAGGCCTGTATTGCTATAAACTTCCCTCTTAGAACCACTTTTGTTGCATCCCAAAGATTTTGGACCGTTGTGTTTTCATTTTCATTTGTCTCCATGTATTTTTTTTTTCAGATTTTATTTATTTGACAGAGAGAGACACAGCGAGAGAGGGAACACAAGCAGGGGCAGTGGGAGAGGGAGAAGCAGGCTTCCCACGGAGCAGGGAGCCCGATGTGGGGCTCGATCCCAGGACCCTGGGACCATGACCTGAGCCGAAGGCAGACAGCTAATGACTGAGCCACCCAGGCGCCCCTCCATGTATTTTTTTTTATTTCCTCTTCGATTTCTTGGCTGACCCATTCACTGTTTTGTAGCATATTATTTAAACTCCATGTATTTATGCTCTTCCCAGATTTTTTCTTATGATTGATGTCTGGTTTCCTAGCATTGTGGTCAGAAAAGATCCATGGAATGACTTTGTTGATATTTTAGAATTCGTTGAGACTTGTTTTGTGGCCTCATATGTGATCTCTTCTGGAGAATGTTTCATGTGCACTAGAAAAGAAGGTATATTCTGCTGCTTTAAGGTGGAATGTTCTGAATATATGTGTTAAATCCAACGGGTCCAGTGTGTCATTCAAAGCCACTGTTTCCTTGTTGATTTTCTGTTTGAATGATCTGTCCATTGAGGTAAGTGGGGTGTTAATGTCCCACAAGAGTACTGTCTTATAGATCAGGAGTCTGACGACTGGGCTACGGTCAGAGTACATTCCTTCCTAGAGGCTCTAAAGGAGAATCTGTTTCCTTTCTTTTTCCAGCTTCTGGGGGCTGCCCCCTTTCCTTGGTTCACGGCTCCTTCCTCCATCTACAAACCCAGCAACGTCAGGTTGAGCCCTCCGCACGCCGGCGCCTCCGATTCCTTCTTCTGCCTCATTCTTCCACGTTTAAGGAGGTTATAGCCCTGTGATTACATTGAGCCCACCCAGATAATCCAGGATAATCTCCCTATTTTAAAGCCAGTTTAATGCCACCTACTACTTTAAGTCCCCTTTGGCATGCGTCCCTGCAAAATTCTTACGTTGAAATCCTTCACCTCTTCACCACCTACACCATGGGGTTGGAAGGCGGGGTCTTTGGGAGGTGCTTAGGTCAGGAGGGTGGAGCCCTCCTGAATGGTATTTGTGCTTTTTTTTTTTTTTAAGATTTTATTTATTTATTTGAGAGAGAGAGAGAGAGCGGACAGAGAACACGAGCAGGGGAGTGGCAGAGGGTGAGGGAGAAGCATGCCCTCCCACTGAGCCAGGAGCCCAATGAGGGGCTCTATCTCAGGACCCTGAGATCAAGCCGCTGAACCGACTGAGCCACCCAGGCGCCCCTTTGTTTTTTGCTGAGGGGGTGGGGGATGTATTTTTTAAAAGATGATCTTATGTGTAGCCCAGTTTGGCAGTCAGATTGGGCCCCGGCTCAGAAAGAATATCCAAGTTTGAGTAGGGGGCTCTGACCTGGTTTCGTTATTTATTTAAATATTCTCCTTACATAAAAAAACCAGCAAACAAAAATATCTTTTGAGATTTGTAACCTAAGCATGTTCAGCCGGGCCTGCCTTCTCCCCACAGCCACAGGAAGGAAACATCTCCTATACTCCACACACAGTCCACAGAGGGCTCAGCAACTATGTATGGAAGAAATGAGAGAAGAAGAAGGAAGGGAGGGAGGGAGCTCTCCTTACCATCTTCTTGACACTGGGTCTGCCCAGTTTTCCATCTGCCTCCCCGAGTGAGCCTGTTCTCTCTTCTTCTCCAGCTTCTGTGGCTACTTCCACTCACCTGTAGAAATAGGACACTTCCTCAGGCAGGGCAGTGGCATAAGGAATAATGGAGCTATTTCTGGAGCCCGCAAACAAACCCCAAATAGTATAGCAAAAGTTGTCCCTTATGCTCTAAACACTTAGAAAATGACAATGCCAGGGGCGCCTGGGTGGCTCAGTCATTAGGCGTCTGCCTTAGGCTCAGGTCATGATCCCACGGTCCTGGGATGGAGCCCCACATCGGGCTCCCTGTTCAGTGGGAAGCCTGTTTTTTCCCTCTCCCACTCCCCCTGCTTGTGTTCCCTCTCTTGCTGTGTCTCACTCTGTCAAATAAATAAATAAAATCTTTAAAAAATAAAAAGAAAATGACAAGGGTTATGGGAGCTGTGAGCCAGGGCCATGATTGAAGACCAAACTATATTATGTCTTATTATAAATCACAACACAGGGGTAACTGAAGAGAGATGCTGGCAGCTGTCTTTATAATAAAGCAGTGTGAAAATAAATAAAGGCAACATCATTAAAAATGGAGTTGGAAAGCCCTCAGTGCACAGCCACTCAGTCCCCAAACAGCAGGAAGCTTACTTCACAGAGCCACCAGGAAGTCTCCTTGCCCAGCCCAGCAGTGAATGTACTCAGCCACTGAAAACCTGTCACCACTCTAAACTCTTGTCAACAGCCCCTCCCAACTTCTTTCTTTCCTCCATAAAAGGAAGACCCTTTTCATTCTGTCCTAAGTGTATTAATCAGGATAGGCTAGCTGCTGTAACAAACAACCCCACTCATTCCATGCCTTTTAAAACAACATGAATTTATTTCTTGTTCATGGTCACAATACAATGCTGGGGTCAGGGAGGACCCACTCCACAGAGTCGTTCAGGGGCCCAGGTTCCCTTCATCTGCTGACTCATCCATCTACAGCCTCAACGGTCTCCAGTGAATCCTCTGCTCACATTTAGCAGGAAAGAGAAGAGAGAACACGGAGAACCACAGGACGGTTTCTAGAGGTAGTCCCAGACTCAACAGATGGCTTCTGCACACATTCCAGGACTCATCACATGATGTCACCTAGTTGCAAGAGAGCCTGGTAATTGTCTAACCTTGTAGGAGAAAGAGGAGAAGCATGGATGTTGGTGAGCAACAGTGACCTCTGCCACAGTGGACAAATTTGGGGTGTGGCACACCAAGAAATTCAAGTTTGCCCTGGGCTCCAGATCACAAAAGGCTTAGAGGTAGGGAGGGCAGAGGCCACCTTGTTAGGGTGACATACCCACCCGGGGACCAGAGACCAGTCATCATCACCAACAACATCATCAATTTCTCTTTGACTTTGGGTTTGTTGTGATGGTTGCTATTTCTCCTGCCTCTGGGCTCCCCAAACCACTGAAACTTGTCCAGGCCATCAAACCCACTGGCTGTATGGGGATGGTCTGTGTATACGACCCTGTCCCACCCTGACCATCATTTTACAACCTGTAAATGCCAAGGCACCAGAGGACTTAGCACTCATTTAAGATCTGATCAATCACTGGATCTGAAAGACGTGATAGCAAACGGGAAGAGGGACCTTTTAGTGGACAAGGGAAAAGTGATGATGCTGTCCAGCAAGCACCGGGGGGGTGGGTTGCTGAATCTTGCCACATCACCCTGGCCCCCGGATGTTTTGTCGCCAATGAGGAATGGGCCCCCCACCCTTGCTCCCATCAGCTGATTCAGAATCAATACAGGAGGAGACAATGGTTGTGGGTTCCAGGGATCCTAAAAGTCTTTTTTTTTTTTTTAAAGATTTTATTTATTTATTTGAGAGAGAGAGAATGAGAGATAGAGAGTACAAGAGGGAAGAGGGTCAGAGGGAGAAGCAGACTCCCCGCTGAGCAGGGAGCCCGATGTGGGACTCGATCCCGGGACTCCAGGAGCATGACCTGAGCCGAAGGCAGCCGCCCAACCAACTGAGCCACCCAGGCGCCCTAGGGATCCTAAAAGTCTTGGAGAGACCAGCAAAGCAAGCATGTCTGAGGGGTCTGGTGGATTGCAGCTACCTCCACCCCACCCTTACTTCATGGACATGAAGTCTTTTTGGTAGCTAGTGCTTTGAATTCAAATTGTCTGGATGTGATGGAGGTGAACTGAAATCCTGGAAAGGCTACAGCCTCTGAACCCCAGGGTTTGGCCTTCTGGTGCTGGAGCTTTAATGATCTCCTCAGCCCGGGAGCAATTAGCCCCTGGGAGAATCACCCTCGGGTGTGAACTTACAAGGTGTTGTCATCCCAGAAAGTAATGGAATGATTTCTATTGGCAGCATGGTTGCACGGTGGAGGGGGTAAGTGGAGGCCATAGTAGGCTCATTAACTGTTGAGCACGAAGTATATGTGTTCATCATCATGTCAGCCAACAAATATGAAATGCCAACTGTGTGCTCACTTGCATGGGTATGCTAAGAATAGGAGGCGCAAATTAGGCTCCTGAGACTACAAAGTCCCTGCCCTCAAGGAACTTGCCTCTGGATGGCAAGGTCGGAGGCAGTGGGGGGTGACACCAAGAACAAGCTTGAACTCTGGACTCTGTCCCAGGGCTGAATTCTTACTTGCTTAACCTCAACAAACCTGTTTATCCATCTGCAATATGGAGAATCATTGTTACCTCACAAGAGCTGCTGTGAAATGAATGAGAAAATTATGTGATAAGAGGTTATTGTGAATACTTGCAACGTATCATGTGATAGTCTTACTGGTTTCATAAAAGTGCACATTCATTGTGGAAAATAGACAACAGAGGACTAAAACTTTATGCACCTTTTCCCAAGATATTAGCCTCTGAAACATGCCTTTACTGGAGTAGCTATAATTGGGAAAACATATCCATGCACAAGACACTACCCTGGGCTTCAAGTATCACAGAAAGATGGCAGACGAAGGAGCTGGTTTCCTGGATGCTCCTGAGAGGCTGGGTGCAGGCAGTGGGAAGAGCCCACTGCCCCTGGGAAAGTGGTCAGAATGAGTGTGGGGCTGAGGTGAAGAGAAGGAAGGGAGAAGTCCCTGGGATGTACCAGCAAGCCATTAGGATGAGAACTCCGTCTGAATCTCTCCATGTATTGTGTGGTTTAAAAACCTACAAGCCAAGCTCTATTCCTGACCCTCCTCTTAAAGCAGCCTCAGGTTCTGGGAGTTTGAAGGATGTGGTGCCCCAAACCACAGGCTGGTTAAAGACTCCCCTATCCCTGGGTCAGGTGTGGGAAAGGCCCCTTCTGAAGGGAGGTGTCCAGAACTTGCTCAGGGATCCTGAGGCCCTGGGGGCAATGGGGGAAGGTTCCAGGGAGGTGGAAGTTCTTTTATTCAGCTGACTGGCTCTCTGTTAGGCTGTTAAAATGTCGAAATCAAGCAGAAATGACCTCCTGTCCTCCAGATAATCCGAGCACACGGCAACACACTGTGGGGCAGAGACAGAGGAACATCAAGGCTTGTGAAAACAATGAGGGGCCATTAAATTAATCTGAGGTAATGCGAGGAAAGCAGTCTCCAAAGAGGAACTCCTGAGGGAGTTGAGGTCACGCCCTTGTGGCCAAGAACACGGGCTGGAGGATTTCTGGGGCCAAGCAGGGAATGGGATAGCCTGAGAGGGCCCCCGGCTGGTGAACTGCAGCTTTTCCTCCGCTGAGCACAAGGAAACACTCCCCTGTAGGAACAGGACACGCCCTCAGGCAAGGCAGTAGCGTATGAATATTCCAAATCAAGGCAGAAGAGCACAGTGCAGTGCCTCCCATGCTTTGGTATCTGAATCCCGAGAGCTAATAAAGAACACAGAGGCCCGGGCCTGCCGAAGCAGGAGGACCTGGGACTTGGTATTTGTACCCAGGTCCTGGGTGATTCTGACACCTGCCACAGGCTGGGAACCAAGAACACAAGCTCTGGACACAGACTCCCTGGATTTGAATCCCAGCTCAGCCACATGCCTCCTCGGCGACTTTGGCAATGCTTGTGATAGTTCTAAGAGTATGTATCTCAGAGCTGCCGGGAGGGTGGGCTGAGCTGTTACCTGCACAGCACGGAGAACGGTGTCTGGACTAGAAGTTGTACTCTGGGAGTGGTACCCATTATTCTCAGACCTGTTTCAGCTGTGGCAGAAAGGTGCCACCAGAGGAAGACAAAAAATTTAAAGGGAAGGGATTTGAGGTTAAAACAGGATTATTTGATATTTAACTGAGATTTTTACAAAAGCAAACAGAAAATCCTACTCAATTAGCTAGCCTACACTGCCAGTCGGTGAGCAGTGTGAGACGTTTGAGCCAGAAGCTGAGTGCCCGTGTTGCAAAGAGAGCATCCACAACAAGAGGAGGGAAAGCTCTATCAGTTTATTAGAGAAAGCTGGGGTGCTCAGCCCCCCACCCCCACCCCATGGCTTCCTTCCTAACCTGTCAACTTGATCCTGGGGCGTGATGGAGGAATGATCAAGGTGTGAATGGCTTCCACCATACGGGTGCCCTGGCTGCAGCTATTCTGTGGGATACTTGGAAGAACTTAAAGGTGAGACTAGAGAGGCAATAATCAGGCTCCAGAAATCGGTTAATATGCAGGGCTGTTTCCACATATCCAGAACTTCTAGAAGAACTCTCAGACATACCTGGCTGAACCCTGCGAACTCACAATACTCACTGTATTTCATTTCTGATTAAGGACAGCTTGGCTTAGGTTAGTGAACTTGAAGCTGCAGGCAAAAAAATCAAGTGTGGTTAACAAGGTAAATGTTAGATGTGGGCCAAGAGGACTCCTTCTGGGGGAACTGTCCTGGCCTCCTCTGGCTATGTCCCTCTCCATGAGGCACTGGATTTGCAGGACCAGGGAAATGGGGACACCCAGCGCTTGTGTCCCCCCTCTCACCCACAAGTTCAGGTACCCATCTTAGACCTTAGAATCCCGGTCCAAAATGACCCATGCCTGCCTCCGAGGCCTACAGGAGGAGCCTTTCCCCTGAGGCCATTTTTACAAAGACGGTGCTGCCCCATGGTGCACACCCTAAGGCCCAAGTGCTGGGTGGCCAAGAAGTGGTGGTTTGCAGTATGATGACACTTCGGAGGTGTGTGCTGGTGTTTCCCTTGTAATATGGGAAAGAACCAGGTGGGAAGAGAAGAGGCCTAGACCACAGGATGGCCAGCTATGACACCACATTGTGGCACAGACCTGACTCTGAGAATTCTCAATTCAAACTTGGTCTTCCAGAATGTTATGTCACGGTTAGGAGGATGGAACGTATGTGGGCTCAGCTTGATTTTTTTAAATTTTGAAATATTAAGACATGGCGCATGGGTCTCCATTTGCATTCCTGCCTCTGGCTTTTACAAATGTTGGGGATGTGCCTGATGGCTAAAGGTATGTACCAGATAGGTCTCAACTGAAATATTGGAGTGTGCTGTTTATTATGTGCCTTGGGCAATTTACTTGAACTCTCTAATAATACTGATGTTAAGGCCTTTCAGTTGCAAGTTCAGAATATCCCAATTCAAACAGACTTCATCATAAATAGGAATTTATTGGCTCTTATAACTGACAAGTCCAGTGGCAAACACCTCAGGTGTGTCTGGATCCGGCAGCCTCACCAGCATCCTCAGCACGTGGTCTCTGCTTCCCTGTGTTAGCTTCCTTCTTGAGCAGGACTACCCGTTGTAATAAGCCTACATCCTACTTACTAAGCAATCCCCACAGAAAATTAGAGCTATCACTTTTCTAAAGATCTGGCAAAGTCCAGGGACCTGATGATTGGTTATATGCCCACCATGAAGGGTCTCAGTCTCTCTCCTTGAAGTCATGTGGATTGTGGATTAAGAGTCAGGGAAGTGTAGTTCACCAAATAAAAATTAAGATGCAGTTGCTAGGAGAACAGCTGAGGCAAAAACAATAGTGGGTTGGTGGGGATTAAATGCTTAGCACTCAAGTTAGCTGCTACTAA